CTTGCCGCAAGCAAACTTGCCTAATGTAACTGTGAACCATGTTCAAGTTGCGAATATTCACAAGTAACGACCTTTACAATTCAATTCAATGTTATTGAAAAAAAGAAACAAAAGAGAAATAAACAAACAAAATCTCCACTGAAACCAAAAAACTTTTAAGAATATTTTACACACACACAAACTATAATTTAATATTTACATTTAATTTTTATTTATTTTTTGTGACATTTTGATTTTATTTTCGGTTTTTCTTTAATTTTTTTGTCATTTGATACGGTCACCTAATAACCTGTAAAGGTGATATTAACAGTTCATTGATCCATATTTTGTGCGTACACAAAAGTTGAACGCTTATTTTTCGCTTGAAATCGAAAATTTTGTAAATATTGTTTTTGTTGTTGTTGGGCAAAAATCAATGTCAAACATAAAACAACGTCACAAACGTGTATGCCATATTTAAAAAGCAAATAAGCGTTGGCCTAACTAACCATTTGGATCCAATAATTTTTGAAGGAATTCCATTTGGTTTCATTTGTTTTTGCTTTAGTTTTTTCAACAATTTCCAGTTAAAACACGTTCCATGCTAAATCTTTTCCTCTATTCAAAACCGAAAAGCTATCAAAAAAATTAAAAAAAAAAAATGTCCAATGAGTTAAATAATTTCACCATAAAACGCTTTTGGCCTTATAATTGATTTTTTTCGGCTTTGTTTCGTTGTTGTTTTTTTTTTCAGTTATCCCGCATTGTAGAGCGTTTTATGTTTTCGTGTGTGCTCTGAAATTATTTAACATTTAATTGTGTCTTTGACTTGCATGCCAAAATTCAGCCGAAAACCGAAATGAAAGTCACGTTATCCGGCTACCAAATTTTGATGGTGACAACAACCAATTTAAATGAAATGTCCATAAAATAAAGAAAAAGAAGAAGAGAAGAGATAAGTTTTGCTGGATTTATGGCGCACCGTTAAAGATTTATGTAGTCCTTGGCAAGTGTTAAATATCAAAGTAGCAAGTTTTGAAATATATTTATATAAATATGTTTATAAATGTGGACCGAGAATCCGGAGCATGCAACATTTCTGGAAATTATGAAAAACAGCAACTCGCATTTACACAAGAATGGTGTTAAAATAAGACAAAAAAAATGAACAAATGCCAAGCAGCTGAGTTGTGTTGTTCCCAAATGAACTAGTTCAAAGAAACAAATACCTGAATGGAACCTTTGGAACTAGTTCTAATAATGCGCATGGAAATTGAGGAAACAGAAAATGACAAATGCAATGAAAAACAAAAATGGACCAAAAAACACGAGGATGCAACATTTCTGAAAAAAAAGATGGAAAAAGCGACTCACATTCACACAGTAGTGAAGTTAAACGAAAAAATTAACAAGTGTCAAGCAGCTGAGTTGTGTTGTCCCCAAATGAACTAGTTCAAAGAAACAAATACGTGAATGGAACTATTTGGAGCTAGTTCTAACAATGCGCATGGAAATTGAAGAAAATGAAAATGGCAAATGCAAGAAAAACAAAACTTGCCTAAAAACAAATCGCCTGGTGTAAGTCAGAATTTTTACTAGACAAGTTTTCTGGCCCCAATTCTTTGTTTGTAGGAGGATGGGTATATGGAAAATATGGGAAATAAAATTCTGGTACTGCAATTCCTTCTGCGTTTTTATAATACAAAAATATAAATAAAAATGCCAGAAAAGGTTATAATAAAAAAGAGAATTTCTAAAAATAATTGCCTTGTATAAATGCAAGAGGCAAGTTCAAAAGAGAACAATAAAAATTTGCCGCGTGTAAATTCGCCTAGTATAAATCAGGAAAAGAAAGGTAAAATAGCAGCTAAGTCGAACTGTTTATACCCTCCACCATTCGAAAGGAACTTGAAAAATGTCAAAAAAAATACGTCTAAAAATACCGCTCAAATGAAAACCTTCATATGGGAGCTATACGAAGACGTGGTGCTGGATAAGTAATTTTTCTTGTCATAGGCTGTAGTAACGGTTCCGAACTTGAAATGCGAAATTTGACACGGATCCGGTGAATAATGATGCTAATATCATCAAAATACCGAATAAAGGGAGGTACGGGTGTATGGGGGCTATACTAAGATGTGGACCTGCATAGACAATTTTCCGTCGCAGGTTGTAGTATCCATTGCGAACTTCAAATACGAAATTTGACTCAGTTCTGATGAACAAGGTCTCGAATATCCTGGAAATACCGAATACCTCGGAGTGACGTTATATGGATGCTATACTAAAACGTAGAGTTCAGGGGGTAAAGTACTCAGAGAGGAACTCCTTGTGTAGAATTTCAGACTATTCCATTGAAAACTATGACTAAAATTATCAAAATACCGAATGTCGGGAGGTATAGTTATATGTGGGGATGTACGATATCGCGGACCTATATAGAAATTTCTTTTTCGGGGGTAAATTACTCACGGAAAATTCCTTGTGTAGAATTTCAGACAATTCCATTGAAAAATGTGGTTTAAATTATCAAAATACCGAATATCGAGGGTACCATTATATGGCATATTTTTTTAAATCTTATTGGTTTTTCAGTGAGTAAATACTAAGAAACAATAATTTAATTCATTTGTTTAGGTTTTATATTTGCAAAGGAAACACAAATAAATGTGAGAATACATAAAACGCTTTTTGACTGGCTTAAGTCATCGGCTGGCTTCGCCTTCAAAAAAAAAAAAAAAAAAACAAAGGAGCGCAGGGCCAAAATCGAACTAACACTGCCTTTACACGGTGGCATTTTTATCAATTCTCTTTTAAAATTTCTGCGTAAATCTTCGCGCCTTTACACGGTGGCATTTTATTATATTAGTGCTTGGCATTCTTTCTGACATTTTATTTTATTCTGTATTTCGTATAGATCTGTATTGTTGTGCTAATTGTTTGTAATAGATATTTATAAAGAAGTGATTTAAAATTAAATGTGTGAATCTAAAGAAGAAATTATGGAAAAAGTTATTGTCGATCTTGTCCACATATTTATTAAAATTATTAACTTTTATTTTAACTTTCTTTTTTTTTACTTTTTAAAACTTCCAATTAATTTTCAAATGTCAAAATCATAAAAATTTCGAAAGAAGCAAAAAGAGAAATGCAAAGAAAATGGCATGTACCCCTGTGCGGTGGTTTATCGTGCCATTTTTTCTTCTATCCTTGTTTCTCTACACCTTTTACCAACAAAAAAATGGCATGGTTGAAAAATGCCACCGTGTAAAGGCAGTGTAAGTCAACCTAAAACTACTTTGTTCCCATGGTAGAAGAATATAGGTAGACGCATCGACACAGCTGCTGGGACAATGAAATGTCAAACCAATTTTAGAATGGGAAAATGTTGAATGAAAATTTGATTAAATTTGTAAAAAATGTTGGAAAAGGCAAATTATAATAACCTCCGAATGACGTCGTATAAGAAAACATACAAAAATTTACTTATATTTGAAAAAAAAAAACATTAAATTTTTTTGACATATCAATGTTCCCAAACGTTGATGCATCTACCTGTATTCTTCTACCATGTTTGTTCGCCTAAGAAGCCTTAACAGCAATTATCAAACCTAAAAGCAACAGTCAGTATTGTCAAAGCAATCTCTACAAATTACATGGTCTGTAGCACACTTCATTTTTTCACTCCTTATCGTTTTCCATTTACTCACTGAGAACCAACATTTTCAATGGTTATTATTTTTTGCTGCTTAGCTTTATTTAAGCCAAAATTATCTCATATTTCCCAGGGGGAACACAATTAACAACAACAAACAAGTTGGAAAATAACAACCCAATTAAAATATTACACAAATTTCTTGCAAAAATATAAAAAAACACAAATTCCTCACGTAACTCAATGTGTGAGAGAGCGGTTGAGCTGAGAGACGTTAGAATGACAGCAAAGCCGCCAGTGGTCATCTGTTGCAGAAATTAACACGGAACACAATTATAAAAGAAATAACTTGTGAAAAAGTATTGATGTGTGGACCCAATAAAATATTTAACAAAAAAACAATCCGGCAGCCGTTAAGAAAATACATATGTACATAATTTAATGAAATCAAATTAACACCTCACCTCATTTTTCTGTGTGTGTGAGGGAGAGAGAGAGAGACAGGGAATGCCCATAATGCACTGACCTTTCGTTATCAATTGTGGAATTTACAAGCAAAGGGATAATGTGTAAAATAAAAAAAAAATAATTCTATGGAAAATTCTGTGAAAAACTATCAACAACAAGCAACAGTTGAGGAAATTTAATAAATAAATACATACATAATTTCCACCCATTTGCCCATCAATGAAAAAGCAAAAAATAACAAAAAAAAACCGCCAACACATCACCTAATATACGTGTGAGAGGAAGAGCGAGAGAGAGGAGAGAGTGGGACACGAAAGAAGTTAGAAGGCAGTAACTTTGAAAGCAGCTGTTATCATTTGCAAAACAAACGAAAACAGACAAATTTTCAATGGGAATTTGTGAGGAAGAGGGCAAGTAAAAATCCCAATCCCAGGGAATCTGTAGCAGCAGCAGTTAAGAAAATTAAATACAAAATATTTACATAAATATGATCAATAATTAATAAAATAAAATCAATGTGTCAAAAGAACCGCCAAAAACTAATTTCTTCTAAATTCTTCTTCCAACAATGAAAGGAATGAAATATTTTAATGGAATTTGTGAAAAAAAAAAAACAGTTTTGTGAAAGATATTAAGCCCATAAATTTAATAAAAGAAAATTAAGTTGTCAATAAACCCGCCAAAACATTAACTCATCTAATGAGAGAGAAGGGGAAATCAAATCAAACCTCCACCACTCACCACATCTGAGTAGTACGTGTGAAGGGGCAAAGAACAACAAAAATGAAGTGAACAGCTGCTGCCATTTCAACAAATGGAAAAATTCAGGCCTAATTTCAATGTAAAGCCGATTAAAATTTTTTCATATTTGAAAATGCGTGTGTTATGTGAAAATTACCTGTGACCTTTCAAAACCATCCGGATTCATGGTTGGCATCAAATAAATATCCGTTGTGTTCACCAATTCGGCAACATCGAAATTCGTTTGATAGTTATACAGCAGATACTGGGCCAAATAGACCAACATCTGGCGGCCAATTGTTTCGTCACCATGCATATTGCCAATGTATTTGACCATGGGTGTCAGCAGATTACGTTGACGCATATTCCTGCCAATGCGTAGCAATACCAAAGATCTTCCCTCCAAACTGCGACCAATTGTTTCGACCTGGGCATTTTCTGGAAATTGTTTGGCCAAACGAGCAAATAGATCCTCAATATCACCCTGTGAGGCATAGTAGGGTTGCTGGAGAAAACTTTCATCTTCTTTAATAATATAACCTTGACATAAACTTGGTATGCCAATAATCACAACAACAAGAAAACAGCATAATGCAAATGAATAACGAAGAAGATGATGATGACGACGACGAGACGTCGTCGTCGTGGATGACGCCGAATGTAGGTGTCTCGTTGAATTGAATGTCAACATTGTGTGGCTTTGTGGAGTGCTGCTTCTTCTTGTTTTTTTTTCGTGTTCCTTTTTGCCAAGTATTGCAAAAACCCTCTAGTATGGGGGAGCGAGAGAGAGCACGAGTGAGAGAAAGTGCGTATTTGGGGGAGAGTAACAGCTGTTACACTTGTGTGATATTTGTGTGGGTGGTTTGACGTGTTTCAACTGGGGTTTACGTCGTCTACTAATCTTGTTGTTGTTGCTGTGTTTGTTGTGAGTTATTAATATTCCTTATCGCCGTTAGAAGGCAATTCACAATAGAGGGTTTTATTGGGTGGCATGAACCCCCTCTCTATTTAATTTTGTGATGGGAGTGTGGCGAGTTTTGTTCGAAAATTGTTGCTTTATTTTTCTATGTCGTCGCTGACGTTTATCTTCTCGTTTCCTTAATCCTTATCGAATGTGTGCGTGGGTGGCAAATTGTATAGATACTTGCTGTTGTTATTGTTGTAAATTTCTGATTAATTTCTTATAGAATTTCCAGGAATTTAATGGATACACTTTCTCTGCAGGTTTTGTATTTTTTATTTTTTTAAAGACGAAGTTATTTTTTTTAAACGGAACAACGTTTACATTTAAAATAAATAAATCTTTGGTATACTTAAAACGCAAGTCTTTAATTATTTTCTTATTTTGTTGTTTTTTTTGTCTGTTAACCTTACGGAAGTCTTTTTGTTGGATAGATAGGTAGATATACGGATGTGTTTGGAATTCTGGAATTCTTAGCTGTTGATTATGCTACAAATGTTTCACTTTGGCATGAGTTAACAAACAACCAAATTAACAATTTTATGTTAATTTAATAGACACGAGTGGGATTTTAGATGAACTTTTATTTCGAAGGAGTTTTATTTTTTTTCTACTTTTTCCTTAATGTTCTGCTTCTTCTTCGTTGCGTTTCACTTGCTCGATTGTTATTCACGCTCTACACGTCTAGAATAGCAAAGTTTTTTTTTGTTCGCTTCACACATTGACCTGTGTTTTATTTAGAGCTTGTGGTGAGCTGCTACTGCTGCCTGCTCTATTGATTTTAGCCGCTGCTAAATTTAAGTTTTTTGTTTCAAACTAGCTGCCTATCCGTATCCGCGTTAACTTGCTGCTACTACTCTCAGGCCTAAGTACAAATAACTGACTGATGAATGGGAATACAACATCAGAGCCATTTAACGGTGGGATTTTTGTTCATAACATTGGCTGGTTGGTTGGTCGATTCGTTAGGTTGACAGCCAGACCGACATGCTTAGTAAGTCTGTATTCCATAACTTTTAATAACAGCTCCAAAAACAAACAACAACAACAACAACGGCAGCAGCAAAAGAATGCAGGCGCATTGTAAGGTTTTGTTTGTCATTTGTTTGCAAGAGAATCCCAGAGAATTTGAGATAGGGAGAGCGAGTGTTTGCAAAATATTGTGAGAGCGCATTTGTTTTGACAGGGGTAGCTAATGGCAATGTTGCCACATCAAATGGGACTATTAGACAAATTTGGGGATAATTTCATTACAATTGGAAATTGGATTTTTAATTAAAGAATAAATGAATAATAGAATAATAAATATAGAATAAGTAATAATAAATTATAGAATGGAATTTTATGGCAAATGTAAAAGAGAGTAAACTTCTTCACAAGAGCACGAAAATAGAGTAACTTTTTAAATATTTGGCAGAAATTGATATTAAATAGATAAATAAAAGAATAATAAATAAAAAGAATTTTTTAAAAATGCCTCACACTTGTTAATTCAACATCGTCTAGATCAAAAAGACCATCAGAAAGACCTCAGGAGCAGATGCGTTATATAAAACAAGAAAAAACCCCGAGTTCGACTTTTCGATACCGCAAGTCTATTAATAGATTTATTGAATTTTGACTTCCGTTGACCTTATACTAGAGTATTTTGCCGAAATAAGAAGGTCTTAGGTCTATTGTAAAAGTTATGGCATCAAAAAACAACGAAATATTTTTTACTTGTGATAATTTAAAGGTGAGAATGCAAAGAAAGCATTTTTACAGGTTTAAATCATGGGCTGGCTCCTCCGTAAAAGAAACAAGTAAAAAAATATTAAGTTCTTCCGGGCCAAATTTTAATACCCTTCACCTTAGGCTAAAGGAAACATTAGAACCCATTATGACCCACAAATACCAATTTTTAGACATATTCATGGGAAAATGTGCCAAAAATAATCAAAATACCGATGTTTCCCCAAAGGAGCTAGAACCCATTAATACCCACAAATACTAATTTTTAGACAAATCAGTGAAAAAATGTAGCAAAAAACCATTAAAAATACCTAATATCGGGAGGTACGAGCAACAAATATCAATTTTTAGACAAATCCGTGAAAAAATGTGGCAAAAACCATTAAAAAATACCTAATATCGGGAGGTATCGTTATATGGGGTACCTTCAATATCTCGCCACACGAACTAGGACCCGTTATGACCTACAAATACCAATTTTCCGACAAATCCGTGAAAAAACGTGGCAAATATGATCAAAATACCGAAAATCGGAAGGTACCCTTATATGCGGACTATACCAAAACGATTACCGATATATCTTATTTTCAATACCAACCATCCTAGACACGATACAAATTGCTCTGCTAAATTTTGGCGCTCTACATCAAATAATGTGGGCTGTATCGTGATTTCATAAATAAGACATAAATTGACTTAGATTTTTATGCTGATTATGAATATATATACTTTATTGGGTCTACGACGAATATTTAAGGATGTTACAAAGGGAATGACAAATTTAATATACCCTTCTTTCCAAGGTGGAGGCATGGTACAATAAGGAGGTAGAACAGCTTCGTAAAACTACAAAAATACAGCCCTGAGGCTATTCCCGCTTTCTGCCAGACTCATTCAAATTTATTTTTTTCATTTTTTCATATTTTTCCTCATTTTTTAATTGAGCTAAGAAGCGGGAAAAATTAATAAAATGTCTGGATTTTTCTCTCAAAAATATGATTCTAACTGTTCAACCTTTCAATTTCATGGCTATACTGGTTAATAGCTTTAATGCGCGAGCCGCAATTCATGTGTCTTCCAATCATTGGTTTTGAAAATATTTTTTTTTTTTTTCATTTTTCAAAACAATTAATACATACACAAAATTGGCAGAAGTCGGCACACTTAGAAAAAAATTGTAATCAGCTGTTAGCTCTACCTTACCTTTTTATTGTACCATGGGTGGAGGGTATAAAAACGGGGTTAGGGTGAACAAGCATGAATTATGGGCCGACCCTAAACTCCTTCGTTCTTTTACGGAAAAAAAGCCAGTCGAGGACTTAAGTCACTCCTTTTTTCCATGAACATTTTGGATATATATTTTGGGAATGATTGATTTTTACTAAAAATGATAATTTTTCTAAATTGTCAACTCATTTTTTTGGAGATTATCAATTTTGTTTTGGGGAATTATTAAAATTTAAGTGTGGCAGCACTGTTTTCAAAAGCAGACACAATGCAAACTACAAAACCTACTCTCTGCGCATTATCACCATTGCCAATTTGCTCTCACACGCTCTCCTTCTCTTTTTCAGCTGAAATTATGTTTCTCAACAAAAATGATGTTATGTTGAGAAAAAACCCCTCTCTGTTTACATATCTCAGTTGATGTCTGCTGCCCACACACACCTACACAGGTACATACACATGTTGGCATGTGAACCAACAAACAAAGCCCGTTGTTGCTGTAGGTTTTGTTTTTTTTTGCAAGCCTCCTCTCCTCTACAAATGAGTTTCAAATAAAAACGTAATAAAAAAGTAATACGGAACGGGTTCTGAGCCCAGAGCGTTATCAGCGTTAGATGAACTGCTGTTACATTAGGCGATTATTTCGCAGCAATAAAAATAAAAAGAAACCTAATTTCAAGCTAGGGGCAAAGTTGTAATGTTCGCAAATAGAGTGAAACGGAAACTAATGGATGGATTCAATCATTTCCTTATCAGTTCGGCGGGACTTATTGGTGGTATTTTATAAATAGACATACCTATTTACATATGACTCGTTATCAGTAGTGGAAATGGAAACTGGATTAAATTTGCCATATTGGCTAGCCATAAAATTTGCTAATTGGTATGGCCCAATTTTTGAGTTAACGATCTTTTTTCTTTTGGCACGCACGCATCGAGATCAAACACAGGGTAGTCTTCGAATTGCGCTTAGTTTTAAATGTTTACCAAAAAATGTAAACAATAAATTTTCAAGGGGAAAAGAGAGGAAGGGAGGGAGAGGGGCAAATGTTGTCTTAAATTGAAGAGAGTTGGGAAAGCTTTTCATGTGACAACGAAAGAGAGTCTTTTTCTCTTTTAAAATTAGTTAGACAAGCTTTCGTGCAAGCCTAGCAAAAGTTTGAAGCTTGACTTAGGAAAAGCTAATCGAGTGAGATGTGCAACATATGGTACCTGAGAACATGATATTTAAAAGGGATTTTAGTCATTGAACTTTTTAGGGCGATATCTCTAGAATTTAAATAGTTATGATAATACAATAATTTACAGGGTGAGATTAAAAAATTGCCAAACGCCATACTTTTTACATTTTTTTAAAATTTTTATTAATTTAATTTTTTTTCTAAATTTTATTGAATGAAAGCAAAAAATATCGGAAATAGCATCAAATTTTAGAATAAAAATTTTTCACACCTTTGGCAAGAACTATAGCCTTCAAACGGCCAATGAAACCGTCACACACTACCCTATGCGGTATTTTGGCCCATTCGCGGCGAAGCGCTTCTTTGAGGTGATCAACACTTTGGTAGTTTTTAGAGCGCCAACCTTGCTCTCCAAAATACTCCAGACACAATAGTCCAATGGATTGGTATCCGGAGATTTTGGTGGTCATTATGCGCTGGAAATGAAGCGAGAAACCCTCATTTTGTAACCATTCTTGGGTGGCGCGTACTGAATGCGATGGTGCCTAGCTGCGATGGTGCTTCCAGTTGGAATGTCCAAGGTCTGCGGCCAAAATGTTAGCATGCCCAAGGAATATTTTCGCGATAATATTCGGCATTTATTCTGATGCCACGGTCGATTAATACAAGCGGAGAGCGACCATCGGTATTTATGGCAGTCCATACCGTCACCATGGCGTGCGCTTGAGTTCTGGTCGCCAACCGAAGTGCTAAGTGCGATGTTGCTTCCTGTTGGAATGTCCAAGGTCTATGGCCAAAACTTTTGCGTGGCCAAGACTTTAATACACCCTCCAGAATATTTTCGCCATAATATTCGTCATTTATTCTGATGCCACGGTCGATTAATACAAGCGGAGAGCGACCATCGGCTGTTATGGCGGCCCACACCATCACCATGGCCGGCGCTTGAGTTCTGATGGCCAACCGAAGGTGCACATTTTTAGCTGACCTCTTTGGCAAGTAAACACGATCATTTTGTTTCTTTACAAACTGCTGGATAAAGAATGTTTTCTCATCGGAGAAAACCAAATTCGGCAGTTCACCCCTTTTCGGCCAAGCGAAGCAACACTTTAGCTCTTTTGAGTCTATTTTCTTTCCGATGCGGTGTATGTTCTTGCACTTTTTGAAATTTCAATGGCTTTACCCCGACCTCATTTTTCAATATTTGCCGAATGGAATATTGCGTCATATCTCTACAATTTCAATAGTTATGGCCACATAATTCATAACAATCTTAGTCCAGGTATTTATCTTTCGAAATCAAGTAATTTTATTATAATCGGCTGGCTATTTTAAAATGTATAGCTCCCAGAGGACAATGACGAAACATTTGTTTGAAGTGATCATTTTTTAGTAATTGCAATTTCTTGGCAATATCTCTAGAATTTGAATAGTTATGACAGTATAATTTATAAAAATCATAGCCCTGGTATTTATCTTTCGAAATCAAGAAACATACTTAAAATCGGCTGACAATTTTTAAACTGATAGCTTCTAGAGGACAATTTCGAAAAATTTGTCAGAAATTAACAATTTTGAGTAACAGACCCTTATTGGTGATATCTCTAGAATTTGAATAGTTATGGCCACATAATTTATAAAAATCTTAACCCGGATATTTATTTTTCAGAACCAAGCTATTTTATCCAAATCGGCTGACAATTTCAAGACTTATAGCTGCTAGAGGACAATGACGGGAAATTTGTCAAAAGTTTACAATTTTGGGTAACAGAACTTTATGGGTCATATCTCTAGAATTTCAATAGTTACGATAATATAATTTAAATCAATCTTAACCGCAGTGTAATCTTTCAAAATTAATCAACTTTATCCAAATCGGCTGGCTATTTTTAAAGTTATAGCTCTAAGAGGACAATGTCTAAACATTGGTTTGAAGTTATCATTTTTTAGTAATTGTACTTTTTTTGGCAATATCTCTAGAATTTGAATAGTTATGACAATGTAATTTATAAAAATCATAGTCCAGGGATTTATCT